ACTTCATTACAAATCTATTGTGACGAAGCAAGTTGGAGAAAACTCTGTTTTCAACAGAACAACTTCTGAAAAGAAGGACGTCTTAAAGTAGCTCGAGTAGTGAAGTGGAGATACTTCAAGGAGACTCAGTGAAACAAGACCAGTCTTAAAGGAAGCAAGGAAGTGCATCCCAGGAGACATCTAGACTTGAAGAAGACGAAGAGAGCTTCTTAAGTTCTAGGGACTAAGGCGTTGTAATCGTTGTTTTACAAGCTTAGTGGTACAGTGGATTAGAGGAACGAGTTGTTCCTTGAACCACTATAAAAATCCCTGGTCTCATTTACTTACTGCTTTTATCTCTTGCAAACTGATTAACTCCAAAGAAGTGGTGTCTGTGTTCTGCAGAACACCTCTTGTGTGTTCACAGAAGGCCTAGTGCCTTTGCTCCTCTGTGAGGCTAACCCGACAGAACAACTCTACTTAGACTTTCCGCTGCCAGTCTGTTCTAAACAGAACAGACTCTCTGTTATAATAAAGACTTAACCTGAAAAAGTTAAAAACCATAATAGTCTATTCACCCCCCCCCCCCCCCCCCCCCGTCTAGACTATTACCTCGTTAACCGGGACTAACAAAATATTTGTTATTAATAAATGAAATAAAAAATTATAAGGAAAAATAGCTCAAATGATCCTCTACAGCAACTTCAACCAATACAGCCAGAAAAGTAACTACAAAATTACTTTTTCTTCTTATTACATAATTCAGCGCGCGAAATCAAAAGTTACGTGTTTGGTTAAAAAATTGGCTAATAAGCCCGATAAACTGAAAAAGGGAGTCACCAAACCGGCTCTAATTTTACAGCTCCTTTTTTTTACTCCAGGAGGGATCTGGGGGAGGGGGCTGAGGGGAGCCTGGAGTAACCAGGGCTGAAACTCACTCCATTGAATTTCCAACCCTTGTGTGCCTAGCGGGATTCGAACTCGAGACCTCCCACTAGGCACGTTAACCTCACAACTAGGTGAGCTGGAATTAGGTGAGCTGGAATGTTTGGTTATTATCGTTATCTGAATTCACCTCTCCAAGTTAAACGAATTATAGAATGTCACACCCAGGTTCATTTGAAATTGAATTGTTGCTCATAGAGCAGAATTTTTTTTATATCAAAACTGTAGTACTCCTCTTTATCATTAATTGTTTTTGTAGAGGATAATTATGTGGTCACAATGTCATGAGGAACCAATCCATTTCATTAGATTGTATTTATACTCCGACCTAAATACTTAGTTGTGATATATTACCCCGGTCGGCCGGTATACTACTGTTCAAGGGCCCAAGGCATTACCCAGTGCAGAACCCGAGTGGCAAGGACCATTTGGATCTATCGGGCCTGCTTCGGCCTTTGGGCCCCTTTCGGGATCGAGACGTCGGGGGCCTTGGAATTGGGGATTCAACCTTTTATAGGTAAACATATACCTTTTGTCGGCGAGCTGTGCCAATCCTACTCGTTTCCTTCCTGTTTTTTGGGATTGTCCTTACCAGCGGTAAACATATACCGTCTCGGTGATGAATTTTGCTCCTATCCATTAACTGGAAATCTCCATTAGGAGAGAGATAGAGAGAGGTGGAGAAATGGTTGGGTAGAGAAACAGAAAAGATTATGTTTAATTATTATTTTTTTAGGAGAGAGATAGAGTGAAAAAGAAATGGAGAAAGTAAATGGAAAGAAGGAAATGGAGAGGAGCATGACGTCTAGATGCCGTCCCTAAGAACCCGTGAACCACCCAAATCGCCGTCAACTAAAAATGATAATGTGAGGATTAATTAGGGATGGCAACGGGGTGGGTTTGGGGCGGGGTTTCACTCCCCCATCCCCCGCCCCATGTCTAAAAAGTTTCCCCCATCCCCGTCACTCCCAGACCCAGCCCATCCCCGCCCCACCCCGCTGTCCCCCACGGGTGCCCACGAGTGCAGTGCCCCCATATATATTTTAATTATCTTATTTTTAAGCCATTATATATATATATATATATATATATATATATATATATAGCATTGAAAGAGTTAAACTAGATAATATTGTGTTCGATAAAAGATGATACCGCCAATTTTTAATAATTCTTCAATTTGAATAAGTTCTATGAAAATATTAAAACTAAAAGCATAAGTAAACATATTACCATCATGTATGTCGTTCCAAATTTCTCATCAATTAGACTACAATTAATTATATATATTATACTTATGTGTGTGTGTTCTATTTAATTAGTTTCTCACTTTTAAAACTCACATATCATTTATGATAAATATTTTTAGTCATTACTTATTATTCTAATATAATACCTACGTAGTATTAGTACATGTATGCATGTCTATAAGTATGTGTATGTGTTTGTTATATAATTATATAGTACATATAATTTAATTAAATATGTTTATGCATTATTAATATATGCATGTATATATATATATATATATATATATATATATATATATATATATATATATATATATATGGACAAATCTTCATGTCAGGTCGGCCTGACGGGATGCTCCGTCCGGCCGAGGGCATTTCGGGCACTTCGCGGTGGAATTTTTTGATGAAATTTTTTGGGCATGTTCTTCATGAAGTCTAGTTTATCCATACCAAATTTCAGCTAAAAATTCAATCGGGAAGGCACCCAAATAATTTGTTGAAGTTAACTGGGCATGAAGACTGTATCTCTGAATATATTTATAACGGGTACGGGGCGGGGACGGGACGGGTGTAGTAATCCTCATCCCGCCCCATATTTTAGCGGGTAGAAATATCTCACTCATCCCCGCCTCCGCCCCACCCCAAGCCCCGCCCCATCCTTCCCCCACGGGGCGGTTCCCCACGGGTCCCCACCCCCATTGCCATCCGTAGGATTAATTAGAGGCCGGTTAGCTGACTAATAATTCCATTCCCGCATAGGGTCCTATGTTTGGACGGTGAACTATTAGCTCAATTATCTCCCTAACTGAGCATCCCAGTCCCTAACATAATGCCAGGCCAGATCATCTTTTGAATATGAGGCTACGTGTATTAATTGTTTATCCAACAATGATTTGATGTTACCGATTTAGGTGTTGTTTGAAATTGCTTCAACTTTATAAAGGTGATTTTTTAAAGTGATTTTGGGAAAAGTGATTAATAGTAAAAGTTGGTAGTGTTTGAGAAAAAAGTGATTCTGAAAAAGTAAAAGTTGGTAATGTTTGGTAAAATAAGTACTTTTTGTGTAATGAAAAAGTGAAAAGCAGTTTAAAGCACCCTTTCCACCTGTTTCCAGCTTTTAGCTTTTAAGTGATTAATTAAGCAGAAGCTGTCATTTGAAAACACTCTTTTTAGCTTTTTTGAAGTCAAAAGCTGAAAAGCGTTGTCAAACATTATGACACCGACTTTTTGTTTTAAGATTAATAGTGATAAATTTAAACATTAGAAATTGCACTGAGAATAGGAGTAACAAGGTTTATTTGAAAATATGAGTGTGTTGCTTTTATTTTCTAAAGAGAATTATTATTATTTTGGCAATATCAAATTATAAACATGATTATATTTTTCAAACGTGACACTAATTATTTCTCTTGGTAGTATAAAAATATGAAAATGTTATTTTTGAATTACAAAATGTTTTTAGTCCTCTTCCTGGAATTTTGTGATTTAACGTTCATTTATGCTTCTTTAAATCCAACCACTTAAATTGCATTTCAGTCATGCAGTTATATAGACATATAGTCCGTGTTATTGATAGAAATTAGAAAATGCATGACCCTAATTCATCATAATCATCAGACCATCAACATCTTGGCAATTTCCACATTTTCATTTTTCAGTCATTCCTCAACAGCTTGGTCCGCCATCTTCGCCGGACCACCATTTGGCCTTCCTTTGGCTCTTTTCAGCCGTTTTACTGCAGGGGGTCTGAGGGAGGGGGCTAAGGGGAGTCTGGAGTAATCAGGCCTGAAACTCACTCCATTGAATTTCAAACCCTTGTGTGTTTGGCGGGATTCGAACTCGAGACCTCCCGCTAGGCACGGTAACCTCACAACCAGTTGAGCTATTGCTTCTTTATTACTCTCCTATTATTTGAGGATTGATTCTATTCTCCCATTATTTGTTTCTATAAGGTTTGAGCGTGCATCCTTTTACTATGTTAGTGGGTACCAGTGAAGTTATTTAATTGAATTAACTTGATTAATGATTAATTTATTTATTTGATTATAGTTATTATTTATTATTTATTTGATTTTAGTTATTATTTATACTATCCTATTAGTTAATAGTTAATTGTTAATAGTTAATTAGTTATGAATTTAATAATTTATTATTTATGAATAAGATTTCAGAATTTCAGTTTTTGAGATTTTTTTATTGTTACTTTTAGGATATAATTTATAATTTCAGAATTTCAGTTTGATATTTAATTGCATATTTTCCCTTTTTCAGGTGGGTTGGTTGGGCGATTTCAACTATCAATCTCTCATTTAAAGTTTTATAGCCGGATCATTCACACGTAGAAACTATCAAACTTTGCTTGAATCCAGGTGATATTGTTCTCGCTTGAAACCTCCACTTATTCTTCATGTCTTCAAGAATTAGAAAGTATGATTCGGGGTGTGAGAAACGAAAGAAAATAGAGATTGGATGCGGTAACTAAGTCTCAAAGAGGAGCTCTAGATAGATTTATGATTACAAAAAACTCTAGTGCTAGTGGAAGTGGTATTGTAGACTCTAGCACGAACTTAGATGGTGATTTGCCTATTGAGAATGACAAAGAAATTGATGATCTATCAGATAAGGATGTTGTTAGGGAGGGCGATGAGAATATTAGTGATCCCACTCTGAGTGATATTGAAAATCATGAACAACCTAATATCGGAGACACTTTTCGAATCGATATATTTGATCCTAGCTAGAAATTGGGATGCTCTAAGTACAAACATGATTGATATTTTAGTTGAGAAAGGATTGAAAAGAGACATGTCTATTGAGAATTATCTAAGAGATAAATATAACAAATGTTTTTCTTGCTCATATTATACAAGAGTGTTATCAAATGGAGAAAAATGTGATTGAGATTGGTTTGTATATTCAAGGGAACTTGATAGAATCTTTTTCTTTTGTTGTAAAGTGTTTTATAAAGGTTCTTTAAGGAGACGACAACTATCATTAGAATGTTTTAATGATTGGGCACATCTTTCAATCAGGATTAGAGAGCATGAAATAAGTGTTGAGCATATTAAAAATATGGTCACTTGGTATGAGTTGCGATGGAGGCTTAAACATAATCAAACCATTGATAAGACGACTCAATAATTAATTAAAAAGGAAAGGGATCACTGGAGCAATGTGTTGTTGAGAATTATTTCGATTGTCAAGTTTTTGGCAAAACATAATTTAACTTTCCGAGGCAGTAATTGGAGGTTGTATGAAGGAAATAATGGAAACTTTTTAGAATTAATTGAAATGCTAGCCGAGTTTGATCCTGTAATTCAAGAGTATGTCAGGCAAATCACAAATGATGAGATTTATTTTCATTATCTTTATCATGTTATTCGAAATGAATTGATACTTTTGCTTGCCTCTCAAATTAAGTCTGAAATCATACGAAAAATTAAACAAGCAAAGTACTTTTTAGTGATATTTGATTGTACTCCAGACACTAGCCACCAGGAGCAAATGCCTTTAATATTGAGATATGTGGATGTCTCTTCGAATGATCTTGGCATTGAGGAATCATTTTTAGGCTTTCTGAATGTTGATGATACAACTGGCCAAGGACTTTTTGATGTTTTACAAGATGAATTAAAAAAATTGAATCTTGATATAGATAATGTAAGAGGTCAGGGATATGATAATGGGTCAAACATGAAAGGAAAACACCACGGAGTTCAAAAGAAATCGTTGGACATAAATCCAAGAGCTTTTTATGCACCATGTGAGTGTCATAGTCTTAATTTGATATTATGTGATATGGTTAATGCTTGTGGAAAGGCAAGAGATTTCTTTGGAATTGTTGAACCCATTTACATAATTTTTGCGAATTCAACTAAAAGATGGCATGTTTTGGAAGATCATGTCAAGGGATTAACTCTGAAATCATTATCGGCCACTCCTTGGGAGAGTCGCATTGAAAGTGTGAAAGCTATAAGTTTCCAAATTGGGGAAGCGAAGCGAAGTCATTAGCTTTGCATGAACTAGGTAATTTTGAATTCTTAGTGGCAATAGTTATATGGTAAAAAATCATATATCATGTTAATTTGGTGAGTAAGACTTTGCAATCAGAGAGCATGCTTATAGATGTTGCTATTCAAGAGATAAAGGGTTCGATTACTTTTTTTTAGGGATATCGAGAAAGTGGTTATGAAAATGCTATAGAAGAAGCCAAAAAGGTTGTCGTTGAGCTTGATATTGATCCAATATTTCCTCAAAGGAGGCCAATTCGACGAAAGAAGCAATTTGATGAGAGTCGAGATAGCACTTCATAAGTTGTTAATCTATCTGCCGATGAGTCATTTAGACTTAATTGTTTTTTATATATTGTTGATCAAGCTATTGTTTCATTGAGAAGGAGGTTTGAGCAATATTAGGAATTTGAGAGTATTTTTGGATTTTTATTTACTTCTGAGAAATTGAGTTCACTAGAAGATGCACAATTGAAGGTATGTTGTTCTCATCTTGAAGGTACTCTTAAGAAAGATGAACAGTCTAATGTTGATATATGGAGATGATTTGTATATGGAAATGAAACTTTTTATCTCGTTCTTACCGGAGAAAAAGTTTGGACCTATTGATCTCTTCAAATTTTTGAAGTGTTATACTTGTTTTCCTAATGTAATTGTTGCATACAGAATAATGTTGACTATCCTAGTGAATGTGGCAAGTGCACGAAGAAGTTTCTCCAAGCTTAAATTGTTGAAATTTTATTTGCGGTCTACAATGTCACAAGTGAGACTCAATGGTTTGGCAATGATAGCAATTGAGAATGACTATTTGGAGAAAATTGAGTACAAGGATTTGATCGATGATTTTGCTTCAAAGACGGCAAGGAGGACAACTTTATTCAAGTGATAGCATTACAATTCTATGTAGTTATTTTAAATTATGTCTTTTTCTATATGAGCACTTGAACGATTAATTTTGTTGAAGTTTATAACTTTGTTGTTTATAGAACTTTATGACTTTGTTATTATGTTTGATTTTATTTTTATTTATATGTGGGGCCTCTAAATTCATTAGACGAGACCTCTAAATTCATTAGGTGTCCCTGCTCGGCATAGTTTAATGAACAAAAATACGGAGTAATTTAATTTTGTGAACAAACAAGAGTAGTTTTTGGGGATTGAAATATGCTTAAGCCTCTTGAATAGTTTTATCATCCAGATTTAGCTTCTACTCCTGTCATTAGAATTTTTAGTACCGCGAATTTAAAAATAGACACACTGACACAAACAAATGATGGCTCGTAACTGAAAATAAAATTTCTTTTTGAAGAATGAGAATAAAATTAGGCCCTGCATCATTTTAAAAAATTGAAGATTGAATTGTTTTGATACAAAAACAACCCGTAGCTTGCATTGCATGTATTAGGGCCGCAGAGGTAGGGGGTTTGATCTTACCGGACTCATTCCAAAATTAAAAAATGTTTATATCAATTGTGTAAAAGTTTATTTGAAAATATTTTATACTCCGGCCCTACGTATTTAAAAGATCACTACATTAGGTCTTGATCCAATATTTAAATGGAAAATAGTAGGTGTAATGAATAACGTAGAAAAGCTGAAAAAGTATGAGAGAAGGTGAAAAAGTAGGAGAATAAAATAAAAATTAAAGTAGAAAAAATAAGGATAATTGAGTATTTCTAAGGGAAAAATTTACCAAAAAGATGAAATGTAACAAACTTTTAAATACATTTCAAATAGGAAAGTGTAATAAACTTTTACATACAGAAGGAGTATGTGAAATAGTAATAGTAAGAGAAAATTCCCTAAATAGGAATAAAAAAATTTGAAATTCCAAAATAGGATTACCATGTTTTTTTATGAGATAATTACCCTAGATATGATTAAAACTCCATCATTTTCCTAATCTATGACTTAATGAGTTTTTTCCCCAAAAAAATATTAAAATTCGTAATATTTAATTAATATATTAACTAATAATTAAATAAATAATTTATGTGGACCAATAAGCCCTTAGGTTATTGTTATAAAAACCCCAACATCCTATACCTCTTCCCCAACCCTAGTAGCTCACTCGTCGTCCAGTCTCCCCTGCCACCACTGTCCAGCCGCCTGCCATTGCTGCCCAACCGCCAACCATCGCCGCCTAGCCACCGCCGCCCAGCCATGGCCTGCAACTCCTTGATTCATTGCGATTACAACACAATGGAATATACGTACATCGTATGATATGTGTGTGATCTGACGTCTTCACATTTCTCTTTATTGCAGATCTGGGAAGAGGTTCCTCGAAGGATTATTTTTATTTCAATTTGTGTGCTACATCTATTTTTATCATCGATTTCAATTTTATCCAATTGGGAATTGGGATTATTACAGCTTTATGGGCAAGGTAATAAATAATTGATTGATGAAGGGCGGTTGTCTGACAGAATTTTGAGATGAGAGGTGGTAATTGATCAATGCAGTACTATTGGGTATGGTTGACGTGTGGATCTAATCAGGCCGAAAGAGTTTTTTGTAGTTCTTGAAATTAAAGTTTGTAGACATGAGCAGTGAACATGGACAATGAACATGAACCATATGAAAATAAATATGATTGAGTATGAGGAGTGAATATTGCAAGAGATAATACTGTATATGTGTAGTGAATGAATGCATTGATGAACGATGTTTGCAGTGAATTGAATTCAATAGATCATGTCATAATATTGATGGAAGGTGCAGTGATTATGATATGTAATGCATTAATGTAGCGCAGTAACACCGGCATGAAATGTAATATACGGAGTATTTAATTAGACTAAAAATTCAAAAATTATTAAATCGAAAATGAGAAGTATAAATAAATTTCTAAAGTGGATGAAAAGAGAACTAATGTTGTCAGAGGTGCAGTGATATATTAGCGGATGTGCAGTAATGTCATGCATTAATGTCATGCAGTAAGAGTATTTTTTAATTTGACGAAAACAGTGTAAAATGCTCATTTTTTAAACAAGGGTATTTTGGTCATTAAACATTTTAATATGGACGAATTTTTCTTTGTCTTTTTGTTTTTCAGCCATACGAATGTCTAAAAACATAACTAGTTATATTTTGAGAAACTCAATATGTTTTAGTCCTGTCCCGGGAAATTTCCCTTTTTTTATTCCCTGAATACGAATAAATTTCTGCCAAGTTTGACATTATTAGGCTTTAAATATGGCATTTTTATCCAAGCTTGGCAGAATTACTCTTATTTAAAAAAATAAAACACGATAGTCCTATTTTGGAATTTTAAAACGTTTTTACTCCTATTTAGGGCAATTTCTGTATCAATAAAAGTGCACTTTATAGTTAATATGTAATTAAGTGATAAAAATTGTCATCCATATTAATTTCTTTAATGTGTATTTTAGTTCAAATAGTGACGGATTGATGGACTCTTGTATTATAAATTGATTACTTCTCACTTGTCCTTTTTATGTTAAACTAGACAAAGTACTCGTGGGGTGCACGGGGTATATCTAGAATTGAATAATAACTTATTTAAACTTGTCCTTTTTATGTTAAACTAGACAAAGTACTCGTGGGGTGCACGGGGTATATCTAGAATTGAATAATAACTTATTTAATAATGATTTACCATGGTACATTATGTGTTAGTTTTGAAAAAAAATAGACTCTATATGTCGTAAGTTTTATTATATACATAGTCGTAGTCGTAGGAAAATTTGAATCGTATGAAAAATGAAAAGAAAATTAAAAGGCCAAAGGGTCAAATAGACCCTCAAACTAACTTAAAGGGTTCCAGGTGGAATTTTTTGATAAATGTTTTATAGCATCTTCTTCATTAAGTCTAGTTTACTATGTACCAAATTTCAGATAAAAATTCAACCGGCAAGACAGTCAAATGATTTTCTGAAATGTAATGCGTTGTTTAACTGCGCAGTTATCTTCAAAATTTCATTTGATTGCCTTCCCGATTGAATTTTTAGCTGAAATTCGGTATGAGTAATAAACTAGACTTAATGAAGAAGATTCTCAAAAAAGTTTCAGCAAAAAAAATCGGTAACCGCCTCAAATGGCGACGGCCGGACAGAGTCTCCTGTATAAGGGTTGATTTTCACTTTTTAAGTTAGTTCGAGGACCTATTTGACCCTTTAGCCAAATTAAAATAAATGATAATGTGTAACCATATGTTCTATGTGAAAAATCAATGAGCTCTGTCTCATTAAAATTTATAAGATAGAGCAACGTTCATATATATATTGGTCATATATATTGACAATGAAATAAAAAAGTTTCACAAAATTTGAAAAACTTCTTTATATACCACATTATTTGTGGTGTTGATAGCGCGGCCCTCGTCATCACATATAAGAATCTTCAACCCACTCCTTGAGGTAACTCTTGACATGGCCACGTACAATTGACCGTGTGCAAAGTCAGATTTTGGAAGATATATGCCCACTTGATTCAAAGGTTGTCCTTGACTTTTGTTTATCGTCGTGGCAAGTGAAACAATTATTGGAAAATGTCTGGACCAATAGTAGTCGTGGAATCAAATCCTTTTGACCAATACTTTTTCAAGTTATAACCTTCGCCTCCAAAACAAGTTTACCTAACTGAGTAATAATCAGGCGAGTTTCGTTGCATAAGCCACATGACTGATCAGTGTTCCTCATTAACATAATAGGAACACCAACCTTTAGTCCTAATTTATGAGCGCATGAGGCAACCCTCTTTTATGGAACTCAATGGTGTATATTACTGCATACAAAGAAAAAAGTTGTCATTAAGATAAATCATGTAATTATTTTATTTAATAAAACTTGGTAAATGTTCCTTGGCATTTATCCCACCGATTTTGGTGGTTCGCCCACCGGAATAAAAAAATGTCATTAAGTTAATCAATTTTGAAGAACATTGCTATGAAAAGAGTTACATTTTAATTTTATGTAGAAAATAGAGATGGTTTGAACACAAAAAATACTTAATGTCCCAATGTAGTTTATGCTTTAAAAAAGGCTTCAAAAAAGGCCTGAAATATGTACATTTCACTTGATCATAATACTGAGTTCACTTTAGATGTAAACTATTAAATTAAAAATATAACTTCAAACCAAGATGACAGAACCGATTTAAAATTAAATCTTTCATGTGTTTTGTCTCAGATTAATTATTGTAATTTCTTGTAATTCATTGGACTTTCTTTGAAGGGAGTGTTGAAGAAATGTGAAATAAATTAAAGTTCCAGAGATATGTACTAAGGGGACTTTGAAATAAACTTCCTTTAGTTTTTAAAACTCTTAGATTTTAAAAGGAAACTTAAGGTCATATTTGTATACAAAGAAATTGTAAAAAGGACACAAAGGTTCACTTAAGCTCACAAATTAACTTTCACAAACTGCAATTGTAAAAAAGGTCACAAAGATTCAATTTCTGGAAGAGAGGATTTGATATGCAACTTTGTTCACTTTTTAAAAGTTGCATTTCAAAGTTTGTCAACGATCAAAAAAA